TCTAGCGCGCGATCTGCGCATGCGTGCAGTTTCGGACTTACTCTTTGTTGTCCATTCCAATCAAAGTTGAATACTGTTTTTTCATAATAAAATAATAATTATTAATTCAATTGCCCATCTCATCAACAATATACAGGGTTATCCAAATTAAGTGTCCACCATTAGTAACTTTGTTATTAGTGAAAATACAAAGTTGTTTGCATTAGCAAACTAGTAGCATTTTTAACGCTGGTAAAAATGAGAAATAAAAAAAAACAATTGAGAGTCGTTATTTTTTATTTTTTCAGTAAAATAACATTTTTTTAAATGGAAACCCCTGTATATTACATTTTTTTCTGTTAAAGCATCAAATTTTAAACAAAAAAGCTTACAATAACTTTTCTCCTAGGTTACAAATTGTTGAAGTTATGGCCTCCAATCTGAAACAATTAAATTGTATCGACAAACTTTATTTTCAACATCAACTTATAATCTTACAAAATACAATAACAATTTTTTTTAAAGAAGATGCTCGAAAACACCACCTTGTTCTTCAAAACATTTTTGGGCACGTTTTTCAACTGCTCGAACTGTCTTAAGTATGGTCCTACCATCTATCTGGGTTATCTTTTAACTAACTGCAGTCTTTAACGCGTCAAGGTTATCGTACCTTCGCTTGTAAATTTGGTTCTTTAAGTAACCCCACAAGAAGTAATCAAGTGGGTTTAGATCTGGTGATCTGGGAGGCCACTGTATTGGGCCGTTTGTTCCTATCCACTGATCATTAAAAGTAGTACTTAGAAAATGATAAGTACCTCTGGAGTTGTGGGCAGGTGCGCCATCTTGCTTAAAATGCAGATGATGTCTACTTATAAGATCCAATTCGTCTAAGAAATTAGTCAGAATTTCTGACATAAATTCCACATATCTTTCACCAGTTAGGGTTCCCTCATAAAAGAACGGGCCAACAATTTTTGAACCAATTATACCGCACCAAACGTTGAAACTGAAACGGACTTGTGGGCCTCTTGGATGTACTAACAAAAGATTTTCTCTTGACCAATAATGGTGGTTTTTTCTATTAAACATTCCAGAATTTGAAAAATTTGATTCATATGTCCATAAAAGGTAACGAAAGTTATGTACATTTTGGCGACAGAAGCTAAGATACCAATGGCAAAAAACAAGTCTTCTCTCTGGATCCCCTGCCAAAAGCGTTTGAACTGGTCGGTACTTATACGGAATAAATTTGTATTTTTTTAAAATCCTTTGAACAGTACCATAACTGAAATTAGAGTCCTTGAGAATATCTGCTATTGAATTCTCACGATAAGCTTCAAAATATCCAATAACTGCAATTTCCGTGGCCTCGCTTATTATGAATTCTTTTTTGCCCTTGTTTTAGCAAAAACATTTTCGTTGCCCCTAAATTTTCGATAAAGTCTCAGAAAATATCGTTCATACGGTTGAATACGAGCGGGATATAATTCACTGTAGTATTCTCTTGCTCTCAAGGAGGATTTTCTGCACACTAAATAGCATTCTAACATATCACACTTTTCTTCATGGGAGAACATTTTTCTTTAAATTAATGACACAATAAAGCTTATAAACAAGTATTTACACTAATGTTTGACATTATTTGATTTTATCATTGTTTTCCAAAGCCTTCTAGTTGCGAGTATGTCCAGTTTAACAATTTGTCGCTTATCTTAATGCTGTCAAATCGCGAACGCCATGTTGTTTTCATAGCCGTCTTAATATTATAATACTGCAAATAATTAAAAATATTTATCGTTATTTTGACTTTATTTTTGACTTTAGCGGAAAAGTCATTATGAACTTTTTTGTTTAAAATTTGATGCCTTAACAGAAAAAAATATAATATACAGGGGTTTCCATTTAAAAAAATGTTATTTTACTGAAAAAAATCAAAATAACGACTCTCAATTGTTTTTTTTTATTTCTCATTTTTACCAGCGTTAAAAATGCTACTAGTTTGCTAATTCAAACAACTTTGTATTTTCACTAATAACAAAGTTACTAATGGTGGACACTTAATTTGGATAACCCTGTATACTAAGTGACACATGCCTAAACAAAATCGAGACTCGTCACTAAAGACAATACTGTTCCATTCCTGATCCCAGAGTGACCGTTGTCTGCACCACTCAAGGCGATTACGTCGGTGTTCTCGAGTTAAAGGGAGGACCCATTGTGGCCGGTATGAAAACAAGCCAAAACTTCTCATTCGTAGGTAAACACTTCGCATGCCAATAGGTCTTCCGTGTTCTGCAAACCATTCATTTGCAATGGACCTGGTAGTGGAGAAACGGTCCCTTAAGGCCAATAATCTTAGGCGGCGATCTTCACGGTCTGTTGTTCTACGGCGGCGTCCAGTGCCCCTTGCTCTTTGCGTACGGCCTTCTCGAAGCCATGCCTGACAACAACTAACCACAGTGTCTACACTTCTTTGCACTCTAACTGCAATTGCCCGAAAAGAAGGTCCAGCACCCCGAAGTCCCACTATACGGTCCTTATCAAACTCACTAAGTTGACGAAATCGTCAGGTCTCCGTACTCTAGGCATCGTAACCGATCGTAAAGGATGTCAAGAACCAAAATCCGTCAACGTTGATTCTTTACTGCGGCTGAAATATTCATTTTTAGAGCGTTAGTGAATTAAAAAAAAGCAGTATAAAAACCGGAATGTCCAACTGATAAGGCTGAAAATTTTTTCACTTGTTATTTACGGATTTATATGTCACTTAGTATATATGTATGTATTGTCTAGCTACAACTCTGTAAATGACCATTTGGGCATACATTACATACCGACGGGACCCTTGATCTTGGTGTCACTAACTGTCTAACAACTATCCTATCAATTACGATGGGCGTACGGAGGATTTTTCCCGAAGGGTGCAAATGAATACGTGTATGGTTGTGTTCCCGATGAAATCTACCTTCGCACATTAATAACATTTCTTCTACGGCGGCGTCTTACCGTTCTACGACCATCGTGCGTACCTAGACAAGAGCTCCAATGCGCATGACTGTCAGGCCGGTACCACGATACACATACACTGAAGATAGGATATTGCGCATGTGGGCGGGGCTTCGTGACGTCACCCGGAGAGTTGTTGGCTCGTCGTTACCAGCGGCAGGATTGTTGTAACGTTACTGCAGTTCACGTTGGTGTTTTTTGGTTTGGTTTGTTACCTGTTCTATTAGTTATACATACTTTATATAGCCTGTATGGTTGATAGGTTGTTAAAAATGCGGTGTGCTGTTGTGGAATGTAATTCCGACAAGCAAAGACATGACAAGACGTCCCAATCAAGATAGGCAGCAGCGGTGGCCGCAGTAGTAGACTCTTCGGTCTCCTGATCAGTCGCCGTGCGCTGTGCGGGTTCGAGTCCCGTCCCAGGAGCAATTTTTCTCTTGGCTATGGATGTTGTGATTGTCCGTAGGTGGTAGACGGTCTCTGACTGTCGAACGTGGAGGTACCACCCGGCGAATCTCGTAGGCGGAGTCAGAATGTGTGCATGTCGCATGCACACGTGTTCCCTCGCCAGAGTCCGTGTGGCGTTCCCCCTTTCCCCTGTATCCTCCTATAGTCGCACGGTACCCAATGGGTGTTTAGGCCTTAGGCCTTCGTGGTAGATGGAATATAAAAAAAAAGATGTGTTAGAAAACTTTTTCGGAGTAATTAGGGCTAAAGGTGGTCTTCATGACCATCCAAGTCCCCTAGAGTTTAAATATAGGATATATTTTGGGGCGAAACGAAGGCGCATACTCAGAGTATTGCAGCGTAGAGTCAGAGGATACTCAAGACATTCCACTAACAGGAACATTAACGAATAAACTGAGTGCACCTGTAGTTTCAGCTGACTATAACGAGCAAGTTTTAGTGGAAGAAATAGATGAGCTCGAGTATGACGAGCTGGAACATTTGGCCGGCTTTGTTTGCCATAAATTGCAGGATGATAGGTTGAAAAGTTCCTCAAATGAAAGTTATTCATGGGATAGACCATCTTACTGAGGGTGGATTATCAAAACCTTCCTCAGCTTTCATGAATCAAATGGAAAAGGTGAACAAGGTAACTACATTCAGTGGGGACGGAATAGTGACAAAAAAGCAAAATTTTATAGGTGAACTTCTGTTGAAGATCAGCAACATTGACTGCCGTGAGAAAGCTAATAAACTATTTTTCTGGTCAAGGATATTCTTCCGAATCAAAGAACTGAATAGAAGTTTCAAAAGCCAGAAAGATCATAAAAGGAAATGGAAAAAAATTGCTGCTTAGACTAAGTCATTTCCATTTATTGTTATACCACCACCTTACTGCAAGAAGAAGATAACTCTCCATTTTTCTACTTTTCGAGTCGCTTACATTTCCACACTTACATGTACTTAGGATGTTCTGTGGAATGAGGATAAATGTAGTGTATTATGACATGAACATGTTAATCCTGCTCCACAGAACATACTAATTTTATATTTATATAATATATATATATATATATATATAATATATATATTTTATAATACCTATATTTATAGGTAATCTAGTTATCTTGTTTTTACAGTGAAGAGACGATACGCTCTATTGTGGAGCTAGAAGCCGTTTAAGCTATAGCCTGTGAAATAGGAATTACAGGGTTGAAATCTTTTATCAAAATCCACCATTTTGTTTTTTATACAATTTTAATGTAGCCAGTGTCACTTGCACCGCTAAGACAAATCCAACGACACCTCATATGTGAAAATTTATCAACCGTTTGAGCTGTAGCCTATGAAATATTAATCACTAGGTTGAAATCTTTTATTAAAATCCACCGTTTTGTTTTTTATAAAATTTCAATGTAGCTAGTGTTACTCGCACCGCTAAGACGAATCCAACGACACCTCATATGTGGAAATCCGTCCATATGCACGTTATCCATATCAACCCAAATGATAATCACTCTCCGCGTGACGTCATGCGCGCCGGCGGACGAAAATCGAACAGCCGAGCATCTGGCACTGGGCTGGTACTGAGCGTCGCCAATAGGCGCTTCTTGTTGCGATCGGTGGTGGGAGAGCCGACAAACACGACGGTGTTGCCAGATTTCGTCTTGCTTCACGCGCGGCAAAGTTACAGCGTTGGGAACCCTTTTCTTGAAGCAACCCTCGTGCTTTGCTGCCTCATTAAAAATACCATATAACTTCAAGAGAGGTAAAAGTAATAAATCTCTGTGGTGTCACAATTCTTTTCTATTGGAATGGAACATTCATCTGGTGCATTTTATTGGTTTTAGTTATCGTAAGTAGTCAGAACTTCGTATAATTCTTGCAAGTCGGGATTTGGTCCCACATAGTACTGCATGTCGTGGGATACTGGATGATAGTTTTCTACAAGAAGCTTCTCATCATCTGACCTGAAAAATACTTGGGTCAGTTGCTTATTTACTGGAGGAATTTGCGTCAAGGTGATTACTGTGATTGCTGATGACATAGCGTGCCTATATAAACGTATTACAACTAAACAAGACAAGACACTAGAGCAGTGGTCGCCAACCTTTTCAGTCTAACCCAACCGCCGGCTTTGTGGCGTTCAGTTTTAAACTGAGCGCACTATCGCCGCGCCTTGCGTATTTATTCCGTTCAAAGTAATCGAGATCGTTCTCGAACAAATCGCTCACCCCAGTGTTGCCGCTGCTTGTATTTATACGTATACCGGTAGCTCGCGACCGGCGGGTTGACGACTACTGCACAAGACTCAACGAATTACATAAAATTAGAAAATACAGTTCTACAAGCACCCCTTGCTTTACCACTCCACCTTAGAAACTAGTGCGATCTAACAAGAGACAGTTCGCTGCATTTTTGGCAGACCTATAGAGAAAATGGCGTCAAAGAGGTTGACTCTGCACTTCCTTCTCAACGCGGTCATTTGTTTATAAAGGATCAAGTTCAGCGGAATTTAAATCACCTCAGAAAAAAATAACAGCCACGAACACGTACAACAGAAAAATTAAACGGATTAGGTCAGCCAAACAAGGCCAGACTGTCCATCTGGCGTCGTTGTCCCTTTCCACATCTGCGCGGCAGCGCCCAGTGCGACATCGATGCGGCGAATTATCGTTCATTTCGTGGGTGTTTTGTATGCTGCATTTTGCCTGGATAGCAGGAGTACGTGGATCGAAAACATCTCTACATCATTCGGAATGTTAAACGTACGTAGATTCCAAAGTCGATGTCGATACAGTGCTAGAAATTACGGCTAGCCCGGAAAAATGGTTTCCTTCCTTTTTCACCCTAAATCCAGTCTGATGACACTTTAGAATTTTTTCACTATGATATTTCGTATTAAACTTTCTTTGGACTAAATTTTCGCGAACTTGTTTAAACATTATTTAGCTATTTTTTAAAAAAACCTCATACCAATGCATTTAAATTTTTGAGAAGAAAAATGCTTTTACTCATCATCAATTGTCCAGTTTTGAAATTACCCATGCATTGTAAGTAGAGTATGGTATTAGTTACAGGAGTGTTAGAGATATTAAGATACCTTCTTACGCTCAGAAAAATACGAGCAATTATTTCACATTTACCTTTGTTCAGCACTGAGAGATTTCAAGCATTTGAGATACTGAGCAATGACGTCCTTTTTGTCGAATATGCTCGGTCTGTCGCATATTTTAGAAGCCACTGCTTCCTCGGTGATCACTGTTACACATAACAGTGCTATGAAGACTTTTATAGACAGCTTCGCCATAATCTGCAAAAACTGTACAACTGTATCAGAACAGAAGGATACTTTTTGAAATATTTATTCTCAATGGCAAACTAAATAGATCACCCGGTAAAATCATTTTATTTGAATAAAATTATCTATTCAGTAGAGGATTCGGATTATAAACGACCTTCACCTGTAGGTTAAATGGATGAGTTTGCGCAATTGATAGGAGTTTCTCCCAGCAATCCAATGATGACCTTGAATTTGACCTTGGCCACGACATTAAAGGACACTTGAAGGTCAAGTCGATTTTTTTATATTACATTTTTTACCCCATAGATGAAAAAAACCGAAAACTTTACGATCAAACGTGGTCTTCACTCATAGTGAGTATAAACATGTTAGCATTAATTTCTAAAAAATACATCCTCAACTAAGCAACTTATGTATTTCAACTAAAATCAGTTGAGCTCTCGTATGAACATTGTCGTATGTACAAAAAGAACTGGCCGATACGACCGCTCCTTTGTCCCAAGGTTGTCGAGATTGTGCAACAATCTACAAGAGGAAGCTTTTCCCAGTTCTACTAACCTTGGGCAGTTCAAGAATCGTATTAACAAAATTTCTTTGGTATCTGCATAGCAGCATGATTCGATATAAAAAAAATAAAAAATCCTTAAATTTTGACCTTCGGAGGTCAAGCACATACCTAGGTACAGTGATATAACTTGAAAGCCAGTAGTCGTTTAAGAAAATTACACAGACATTATTTTCGCGATTTTTTTCCCGCATGTTCAGTGGTGATTTTGGATTTGACCTTGGTCATGCGTTTAGGGTCATTTGAAGGTCAACTCTTTTTTATTGGGACCCTATAATTCTGACTGCGGTACAATGGAGAGAAGGTAAAATTCTATGTTTGGATATGTCCTTGACCATTTTTAGAGCTTGACCTTGGACTTAACCATCAAGGTCAAACAAAAGTTTACATTAATATCCTGATAATTCAGAAAGCTGCGTAACCCCCAGATAGACTGATTTTACTGTTCTATAACGATTGTTTGCTTACTACAAGAATCGACGTGACCTTCACATGAAATGTTTTGACGCTTGCGATCGAGCGTAACCTCACTTATGCTATTCTACATTTTTATCTAAAAGGTTACCCCCCGATAATTTGTGAATGGTAGGAAAAACGAAGCCCTGCGATTGGCGATTGATGGGAGTTGCGTCCAGCAATCTAATGGTGACATTGAATTTGACCTTGACCTTAACCTTCAGGTCAGTTGAAAGTCAAGACGGTTTTTTTAATTAAATTTTTGATCCCGTAAATGAAAAGTGCGGAAAATTTTCGATCAAATTCGTAAATTTTGACCTTGTGTAGTCATGCTCAAGGTCAAACTCAGGTATGGTGATGTAACTTGAAAGCCAGAAAACTACAAAGACATTATTTTTACGATTTTTTCCGGATATTCAGTAACCTTGGATTCGACATTGGCAGTGGCTTTCAGGGTCATTGAAGGTCAATTCTTTTTTAATGGGACCCTATACTTTTGACCGCGAAAATCGGGGCGAATATGGAGAAAATGTTTGGATATGTCCTCGACAATTTTTAGAACTTGACTTTGGACTTGACCATCAAGGTCAAATACAAGCTTACCTTAATTAATCGAGAGTCGTGTTAACGTCAGTTTACGTCAGTTGTGTGTCTGATGAAAAAGTAGCCAGAGTCAAAATTAATCAGTGAAATCGTGAATCGCAGTAGTGTCGCACAAATCAGAATGGCCCCACACACTAACTCGAGCCACAAAAAATCGTCAAGAAGGTCTAGAGGAAGTTCCAGACAACAGAGACATGTAGCAGAAAAAATTGTGAGGTTTCCTAAGAAGGAGCAGCCTGTTAAGAGAAAATCTTCAACTGCTGTTAAGCAATCCGAGAACTACGAAAGTCTGATTCTGTATTATTTGGCAAAGCTGAGGAGACTGTTCGGCTCCGCGGATCATCCGACACCTGGGAACAGAGAGAATAGTGCTGTAAAGATGCGGAACGAAAACAGCGGCAATGTCGGAAGGCAAGACGGACCACACTCTATCAATCCAAACAGGTACACAGCTAGGCGTTCCTCTCCCCGACCGCGTGACAATCTTACCGAAGAGATGAAAGAGCAGGCATTCAGCATCGTAAACGCGGCTATAGAATATGGATACGCCAACAACGTGATCGGCAGAAACGGCAACTGCTTCTATCTAAAAGGAAGCAAAAGCTGCAAGAACCTTCCCGTCAATTGTTCAATGCTTGATAGCAGATACGGATGCAGGCAGTGCGCCAGTAGCATGAACAACAACCATGTTGAGGTGTTGAAACCACCAGCTGGTATGCTAAACCAAAACGGAGAGTTTGTCAGGGTAACCCGGGCTATGGCTGATGGCAGTAAGAGGTACTATTTGCCCGACAAGCAGAGTTCCAGGAATATGCCCACAAGGACATCATCGTGTATAAATCCAGTAATTACCAAAAGTGGTAGAGTGAGCAAGGCATGTCGCTGCAGTAGGTGCCGTTATCAAGCTATGCCTCCAATTAAGGATCATCATGTCACTTGAGAAGACTTCCCACACGTTTGTGATCATCATGTGTGAAATATGTGATTGTTTTGGGATGAAATAAAAATACCTATATGTAACCTTATTTCTTGATAATTCAGAAAACTGTATAATCCCCAGATACGACTTGACTTTCACATGAAATGTTTTGACGTTTGCGAGGAAACGTAACCTCACTTATGCCATTCTACAGGATGTCTAAAAAGTTCCGTATCACTCCGATAATTGTGAGCTAATAATGGTAGGAAAAACGAAGCCCCACGAATGACGGGAGTCCAATGGTGACCTTAAATTTGACCTTGACCATAAACGTCAAGGTTACATGAGAGTCAGGTCGATTATTTTAAATTAAGTTTAGGCCGTAACTGAAAAAAGGGGAACATTAGTATTTAAATACGGTCGTGACCATTCTCAAAACTTGACCTTGGGAGGTCAAGCACATACTTAGGTACGGTGATATAATTTGAAAGCTAGTAGTCGTTTAAGAAAATTACACAGATATTATTTTCACGATTTGTTCCCCGTATATTCAGTGGTGATCTTGGATTTAACCTTGGCCATGACTTTTACGGTCATTTGAAGGTCAACTCTTTGTAATTGGGACTCTATACTTTTGACTGCGATAAAATGGAGAGAAGGGAAAATTTTTCAGAACTTGACAAGGTCAAACAAAAGTTTACTTTAATATCCTGATAATTCAGAAAACTGTGTAACCAAGATAGATTGACTTTACTGTTCTTTCAAGGATTGTTCTCTTACTACAAAAATCGACTTGACCTTCACATGAAATGTTTTGACGTTTGCGATTGAGCGTAACCTCGACATTGGCCATGGCTTTCAGGGTCATTGAAGGTCAATTCTTTTTTAATGGGACCCTATACTTTTGACCGCGAAAATCGGGGCGAAAATGGAGAAAATGTTTGGATATGTCCTCAACCATTTTTGGAACTTGACTTTGGACTTGACCTTCAAGGTCAAAAACAAGGTTACCTTAATTTCTTGATAATTCAAAAAACTGTATAATCGCCAGATAGATTGACATTACTGTTCTTTAAGGATTGTTCCCTGATTACAGAAAATGACTTAACTTTCACATGAAATGTTTTGACGCTAGTAGCCGTAACTCACTTATGCTATTTATTCTACAGGATGTCTAAAACGTTCCGGAAGCCTCCGATAATTTGTGAGCTAATAATCCTAGGAAAAACGAAGCCCCATGAATGACAGGAGTAGTATAATGGTGACCTTAAATTTGACCTTGACCATAAACGTCAAGGTTACTTGAGGGTCAAGTCGATTATTGCAAATTAAATTTTGATCGTAAATGAAAAAACGGGAACATTTTGTGTTCAAGTACGGTCTTGACCGTTCTTAAAATTTGACCTTAGGAGGTCAAGGTCAAACTCAGGTACGGTAATACAACTTGAAAGTCAGTAGTCGTATGTTTTCACGATTTTTTCCCGGATATCCAGTGACGACCTTTGATTTGATCTTGGCCATGAATTTCAAGGTCATTCGAAGGTCAACTCTTTTCTAATGGGAGCCTATGCTTGTGATCGCAAAAATCAGGGCGAAAATGGACAAAAGAGAAAACGTTATGCTCGGATATGTCCTTGACCATTTTTAGAACTTGACCAAACACAAGTGTTCCTTAATTTCCTGATAATTCAGTAAACTTTACTACTGTGCCAGGGACTAAAAAGTTGTCACGCGTTGCAACCTATAACAATTTATATTTACATATTTAAATGACAGGAATCTTTTTCCATCATACTGTCTACTGTACTCGCAAAGTCAAATCCTTTGCACACTCACAAAGATAGATACTTTCATTGCGCAAAGGCAATAACATCTAACCACATTCTGGCGTTTGGTCATTTAAGGAAACCGTTGTCTCATTATTTACGACAAAATGTACACGCTTCGGAAACATGTTGAACAGTTGTGTGTCTGGAGGATGGGCGTGTATGTTAATATGAATACAGAAAGCTCATTTTTTTACGGTTAATTAGCTTACCTAATAATTGAAAATGCCTAGGGAGACACGAGGCAATTTTACAGCTACGGATAATTGAATAACGTGAAAGAGAACTTGTGTTTTGTGAAAATGTCATTAAATGGGTTAGCGGCGTACAGTGGTGGCTGGTAAAGGGAAATTATTAACACGTCTTGAAAACAAAACCGCAGCAAAATAACAAATTTTAAATTCACTAACAGAGGTAAGGATGAGGACGAACTTCAGTATCTGCTATGTATCTACTATATACATTACGGTGTTCCACAAAATGAAACTTATTTTTTTCAAACACATAGCCTCTTACGAGTATTTTATTTGAACAATGTCAAAACTATACTAAGTGACATATAAATCCGAACACCCAGTTTAAATGGTTTTATTTTAATACAATTTTGTATAAGTACTTAATGAAGCATAATAAGTAAATGATAAAAATTTCAAAATGATTGCACTGCTTTAAAGCCCTTTGACCTTTAATAATGTGTGGATGCACCCTGATGTGCTACGCATTCTCCAACGCACCTAGACATGCTTCTGATCAGGTGGTCAATGTTCTCCTGTGGTATCTCATTCCAGGCAACCACCAACCCCTCTCGAAGTGCTTCTAGAGTCTGAGGAGGACGTTGCAAATTGAGCAATCTCCTACCCATCATATCCCACACGTGCTCAATTGGGGATAAGTCGGGAGATCTTGGTGGCCATGGTAACAATGTTGAAAGAAGTCTATTGTGACTCTTGCAAAAAGTGGTCGGGCATTATCTTGTTGAAAAGTTGGATCTGCCAGGGTGTCAAGATAGGGTAAAAGATAGGGTTCTAGAACTTCGTGGATATAACGCTGCGCGTTCATGTTACCTCTGATGAAGATTAAATGTGACCTGGAACCATAAGCTATAGCACCCCAAACCATAACTCCAACAGTGTGATGAACATGTTTTTCAACAAAAAACTGTGGATTCTTCCTTTCACCACGTCGCCTTCTAACCCTGGCACGACCATCGTGCATGCCTAAAAAAAATCGAGACTCGTCACTAAAGACAATACTGTTCCATTCCTGATCCCAGAGTGACCCTTGTCTGCACCACTCAAGGCGATTACGTCGGTATTCTCGAGTTAAAGGGAGGACCTAGTGTGGCCGGTATGAAAACAAGCCAAAACTTCTCATTCGTCGGTAAACTCTTCGCGTGCCAATAGGTCTTCCGTGTTCTGCAAACCATTCATTTGCAATGGACCTGGTAGTGGAGAAACGATCCCTTAAGGCCAATAATCTTAGGCGGCGATCTTCACGGTCTGTTGTTCTACGGCGGCGTCCAGTGCCCCTTGCTCTTTGCGTACGGCCATGCCTGACAACACCTAACCACAGTGTCTACACGTCTTTGCACTCTAACTGCAATTGCCCGAAAAGAAAGTCCAGCTTCCCGAAGTCCCACTATACGGCCCCTATCAAACTCACTAAGTTGACGAAATCGTACAGGTCTCCGTACTCTAGGCATCGTAACCGATCGTAAAGGTTGTCAAGAACCAAAATCCGCCAACGTTGATTCTTTACTGCGGCTGAAATATTCATTTTTAGAGCGTTAGTGAATTAAAAAAAAGCAGTATAAAAACCGGAATGTCCAACTGATAAGGCTGAACATTTTTTCACTTGTTATTTACAGTAAGAGAAATACATTCACCAACTTTTATTAAAATAAAACCATTTAAACTGGGTGTTCGGATTTATATGTCACTTAGTATATTTAATGCTATCCCACAATTACTTCTGCAGCGAGTGGCATGGCATACGTAATGGTCAACATTTAGTTGACATGATTTTTAAGAAACAAACTCCTCACTATTCTTCATTATAATAATTATCGCAATCGATGTTTACCTTTTGTAATCTTTTTTTTAATTTGGATTTTAAGTCCGAATTCTGCCACCGGCTTCTTTAACTACTTCGACACCATCTTACAAACCAGTGCAAGAATATTCATGTTCAGATTCAGAGATAGATTTACAAGAAAGCTTGCCCATCCAAACTCAGAGCACTCTGCCTGATACTAATCAAACTCAAATGAGAAAAAGTTTCATAGCTCCAAAATCAGTGGCAGCATTAGGTGTCAGTTAAGAATTAGAAATCCTGTTTTTATTATTGAAGCAACCATTGTGGCACTTGGTCATAACACTGGTGAGTTTCCTATAAGCAAGTTTTCCATTTAAAGAATTCGTATTACAAAGCGAAAGGAGCGCGCAGAAGCTGTAGAAATAACAATATTTTTTAAGTCGTAAGGATACCGTTGGCTACAATTTTTGTATTCAATTTTTTATATACAATGCGTAATAACGCAACTGTGTATCGAGCCCACACTGAAAACTCACCCTATAAGTCTGTCATATTTCTTTTTTAAATACAAATGTTTGGAAAATATGTACTGTGTTTACTAGCGGGCCCAAGGGCTTTTTAATAAGATACTTTCTTATATATGAAGGATGCAACATTTATAATTTCCAACTCCCTCCCCCCCGATTTTCATTGTCTGCACAAATATTCTGAAAGCGATCAAGAGCCGCAGTTTGAGAGGTTTTTACTTTTCGTTTCGATCGCCATTCGTAATTTTCCGAGATTATAAATTCATTCGAATTAGTAATAAAAAAGTTACTTACTTGGTTATATTTATAAGCAGATCAATGGAGCGACTGAAGCTTAGTGTCTGGTTTACCTACTGAAAATATATGAGACACGTGCGTGAGGGTTGCTTTACAGGCAATTAATTACAGTTACGAGGGTACTAGAAAATAAATCTACCGAGCCATGTGACGTACGTTTTTTTTTTGGTAATTTTATGTTTGTATATAATCCCCCTAGATCAATGCACTTGCGACGTTTGTCATCCTGTGAATCCTTATAAAAAATGATTCCTCTTGACTCTCAAAAAAGTTGTCCAGCTCTGCTTTTAGGCCAGCATCTGAGTCAAAACAAGGTCCTCGCAGATTTTTACTTAGTAATCTGAAGCGATAAAAGTCAGGCTGAGTTAAGCCCGGACTGTAGGAAGGATGGTCTATATCAGAGTTCCCCAAACTTTTTTGTGTCGTAGACCCCTTGCCATGTTTTTCCGTGTTGGGTAGATCCCCTACTTACCTGATATTGATTTCCTGTAAATTTCTAACTGTAGTGAAGTTTAGTGTTAAAAACTTGAAGTAAAAACACATGTTAATTTATACGTTTATTAATTGAATTTAAATTAAAATTACTCAAAATAAAATTTTGTATCTGTTATGTAAAATATACGTAACATTAAATAAACAGGCGTTTGACCAATAAGTGCCCGCATTGGGAATAAACGCCCGCATTGAAAAAAAAAATAAGAGGGATAAAATAAAAAAAAAGTGAAAAATAATAAAAAAAAAGTTTTTTACTTAAAATAGTACAATAAGCGAGTTCGTTTATTAATTATAACATAAACGTATGTTCTACAATAATTTCACTGTTAAAATAGGCAAAAAATTAACGAAGTTTAGTGAATTTTCAGAATAATTTAAAAAATAATAATTTCTATAAAGGGGGGTTCTTTAAAAAAATCAATGCGGGCACTTATTCCCAATGCGGGCATTTATTGTTCAGATACCAATAAACATAAAATAAACTATAAATAAAATAACATAAGCAATAAGTCAATATTTTTAGTGAGAAGGATGAACCTGATGCTTTAATAATAAATTATCAACATTTGGCGTCAATTTTGTAAGGGTTAATCTTAAATCTCCTCGGCTAATGATGTCCAGTCTGCTTCTTTTTTTCGTTAGGAGATTGGTAACATCGCTGAACCCCCTTTCCACTAGGTATGACGATGGAAAGGAAATTAAAAATTTCCTCGCTATATTCCATAATACGGGATAAGTAACGGGTATGTTGTTTTGCAGCCAGAATTGCTGATATCCGTTTTAAACTGAACCTTAAGTTCTTCGTTTGTACTTAGTTCAGTCAGTTCCTCTTGTATTATGACAGTCGTTTCTTCTATGTCACCATATGGATTAATTATCCACGGTGGTATTACCATAGTCAAAATATCCTCAAACCCAGATTCAAAATCTGAATAGAGGGCATTTAAATGTTGAACGTAAGTTGAAACGTCGTCTTCCTGGCAGCTTGTCTGTGACAAATTGGGGAACTGAGAAAATTCGCCCCGTCCAATATTTTGCTTCATTAGTTTAACTCTGGCAAGAAACGCTGATAAGATGGAGTTTGTTTTAATCAAATTTAAAATGTCGCCTTGTAATTGCAAATTAACCATATTAAATTTTGTAAACAAATCTGTTAAATAGGCGATGTCTGTTTTCCTCTTCATTAAATTTTCTTTGAAAATTTTATCTTTAGTATCCAGAAATTCTAAAATAGTCTCAAAAAGTGCAAAAAATCTTGTCAAACATAAGCCTTTCGACAGCCAGCGTACTTCAGCGTGAAGGGGTAATTTCGCTGACGTAGACCCCTTGCAGGTTGTCATAGACCCCTAGGGGTCGATATAGGCCACTTTGGGAATCAATGGTCTATATCAACGAAGCTGTATTCCTGCACAATTAATAGAATTTTGACCTTATGCACAGTCGCATTGTCAGCAGAAACACTTCTCTATTGGAAAAATAGGGTCTTGTCTGGTTGATAGCTGTACGTAAATTTTTCAGCGTGTTCGCATTGACGTCCGTATTTATTGTTGTTCTTTTTAGCATATAGTCAACGAAAAGTGTGCTCCTGATGTCCAAAGAAAATATTGGCATCAATTTTCCAGCAGAGGGGTGCGTTCTCGCCTTTCTGGGTTGTGAAGACCCCTGCTTGGATTCTGTTTTGTCTCAATTTGTGTCAGAATCATTGGCCAGCGTTTCCAAGTGACTTTCTGAAATTTCCAAAATTTCCAACTTGCGCAATTTGTCCAGGTGTCCAAATTGTTGTGGTTGTTACGCTGGGTACTGGTACATTTCAGTTCTTTATTGGGGCTCACAACCGTGTAAATTTACAAAACAACAACATCTGTTGGAAGGAATAGGAAATTGAAAAAACATTAACAAGACTGTAGAATAATATTACGGATTTAAAAAAAATACAAAACTACAATTCCGAATAAATTAACAAAAACTCAAACACACTACAACATA